AAAAAAAAAAAAAAAAAAAAAAAAAAAAAAAAAAAAAAAAAAAAAGATTCCAAACCCTGTGGACAGATCTTATAACAAGACAGTGGAACTTTAAAGGGGCTAAATAAGTTGATGTTTTCTATTTAATAAGCAGTCTTTAAAAGACAATGTTGAAACAATTAGCTTATTATGTATATGTATGTTCACATATACATGTGTGTATGTATATATATACATACACACACACACACATACACTATATCAGTGGAATTGTAGGTAGGTTTTATATGTGTAATATATGTGTTCAACATAAAACTGTACTTATAGATAGTCTATGATAAAATAAAAATGGCTATTTTTCTATATGGTAAACACAGTGATGGAATAAAGAAATCTACAGCTAGGCTGTTACCTCTGAAAAAAAGAGAAGCTATAGAAGTTAAATTTACAAAAAAGAACTCATGAACACCCTCTCCTTTACTTTCTTATTAATGTATGTGAAGTGCTTTGCAAACTTAAAGTGTGATAGAAACACTGGTCACTGTTATTAGTAGTAGTAATAGTAATAACAATGGTGATGATGAGAATAATGTGCATTTGTGATATACTCTACTTGCCCCAAATCATCACCTACAGAACTGCTACCTAGTAAACTGATTGTGTTCACAAAATACAGAAGGCAAAAAATGTAAGATAATTCTATTAACAGGGAAATGGCTTTAATTGGCCCTAAAACAGGCAATTTTTCAGAAAGTATCTAAGAAGCACATACCCTAAAATTATCTTTCTTTATGCTTTTGAAGTGCTATTACTATTTGGGACCCCCTGTCTGGCCCTTTCTATTTCCCAGGATGAAACAGGTACATTGCTAGGATTAGGTTCTTTTTCCTGAAGTAGGTTCTGTTGTCCAAAAGAAGTATCCCCCAGTCTTCTTTCCTGACAATGCCAAGTGTGGAAAACGGGAAGGATGCTATCCAGAAATACACACATACATTCATATACATATACATGTATGTGTGTGGATGTATATGTTAAGTGTGTGTGTATATATACGTGTGTATGTCTACATATGTATAGATCCTATTTCATAGGAAAGATGCTATCCAGAAATATCTAACAGAAAGCCACGTTTCTTAGCCACTGTCCCTCTTCTTTCCCAAACTCTTCATCGACCTCACTGAGTGTGGCTGAATTCGGTTTAATAAGCCAGGAAAGCAACACTGAGACCTTCTCTTTTTTCGCTTAAGTGTCCTCTCACACAGTGTTTGGTTGGCGATGGGGCTGCCCCACTTCACAGGCCTGGTCCAATTTTCCATTTTTTCTCCACCTACTCCATTCTTCACCATGCATGATGGTGAAGCTATAACAAACATTTTTACACTTTGCTAAAGCCAAGGAAAGAAATGGGATAAAACTAGTGACAAACTTAAGATCCCATTCAAAGAAGAAATTAAACTTTTATACTATGGCAGGAGAGGGAAAAAAGATATCAACCTTTTGATTCTTGAAGCACATTTCACTTTTTTCCACTGCCCTGTATAAATAGGAATGACTTTACCTCTTTTTTGAAATGACTCTCTACAAGTATTCATTTAACGGATTCATTGCTCTGTTAAGTCTGCACTCTGAATTTATTTCATTAAAATTCACAAACATATAAATCTATGAATTGTGGCATGTATTTGTACTTCCTTGGAGTGGCTTTGATATCTATTTGCCAATAGTCAGTAGTTACAGTAACAAGAAATTAGGACTTTTGTACTTAGCTAAAATGCTATCGAGTTTCCTTGATTAATTGACATTGTAATATAAATACTTTTATTTACTCAGTTTGTTAATGTTTGCTTTCCAAGGCAGAGACTAGAGCTTTAATTCAATTTAGTTCATAAATTAGGTGGGGGGAGGGAAAATATAAAGTCATTATACTATAATGGTACTTTTATTTTTAATGGTTAAAATTTGAATTAAAAAAAAAAAATTGGCATTTCCTCCCCGCATTCTAAAGAAAAAGTCTTTGGCATTTGCCTTTGTAAGTTACAGGAGACAAAGGAACCTACTATTTTCCCCCAGACTTTTGAAGCTTACTGAATTCCTCTTTTCAGATAAATGTTATTTTTCGTGATCCTTGCAACAGACATTAATGAAGTTCCTATTGTAAATCTATAAAGAATTACCAAGTGAAGTGTGCGCTTTTTGTTTCAATGCAATAACTCAGTCCTATGCGATTGCCTGGGTTAATGATGAAAAAGTCAAATAGACTATCAGAGCTGATGGAAAAATCTATCACCAATCTGAAATTAAAATTCATCTGTGGTCAATAAGATTTAATATCCATGCAAGTGGCGCTGTAAAGAGTAAATGAATCAATGTCATCAATACATAATCAGTATGAAATATGATGTGAATAAAATTATGTGTGAGACTCATACATTTCACTCTTTTCTGGACCAGTGTGGAATGAACAGTCTCTTAACTGAAGGTTGACAGTAATTGTTACAAATTAAGCACAGCGGTTATCAAAATGCACTCGCCTGCATAGCTGTAAGACTTATTAAGGAGATTAAAATAGATCTCAAACTATCCAGTTCTAACGGTACTGGACAACTGTTGATCGGAACATTTTCCTCTGAAATGCCTTCTAACGTGCCATAATTTGTACCCGTATATAATTTACTCATCTATAAGTATGGTCCAAAGGCTTTCAAGTTATGGATCCGAAAGAGAGATACATAATCTTTAATGGCGCTATTAGTGGTGCAGAGAGCTTGGAGAGACTAAGAACTTTGTTTTAAATGTCATAACTTATTCAAATTTATGGGCCTACCAATCAACAGAAATGCTCTCCTCCGGTATTACAGTATGTTTTGTAAAACTGCTATTCTAAAAATAAATCCAAAGCAAATTGAGGAGGGATGGCAGGTGTCTAGATTTCAACCATCAATACAAGACTCTTTTCTTCATGACAAAGATATGTGTAGTCCTGTTTACAAAAATTAAGGTTCTAATTCTCCTCCCATGACTACCTCCTGCACTCTATTTCTGCATCTCAAGGATCCAATGGGATCTGGTGATTAGTGCGTTTCATATTGGGCTTGGTTTTACATGCCCCAAGCCTCAGGCCAGTTGAGGCTAAAACCAAATTATGACAAGCAGATTTCCCTAACAGGTATCCCTCCACCTAAGAGTATTTGCACCTGGTCACCCTATTTCTGAACACCAGACCTGAATCTCATCTTCGCCTCTTACAAGGGTGACACAAAAGAAAACCACGGGCTAGAAAACTCAAGGTTGGAAGAGGCAAGCTGTCCCACCTTGCTCTAAGAAAGCTCATTAGTAATTGTTGGGTATTCACCTTCTGGTCTGACAGTAGTGGATTGCTTTGAAGTGAATTCAAATGACCATTGATGAGAGCTGTAGGTCTATCATGTTCACAAAATAAACTGCCGTTGATGTAGTGAAACCGGTCTCCCGGGACCAGGCGATTCCGGCAGGTAGAGCACGTAAAACACTGTGAGGAAAGATAAAAATCATTGGAAACAGGTGTAAAATGAAGTCTTTTGGCGCGAGTCTGGAGCAACCAAACAAGATGGGGTGTCTATCAAGTACAGAAACACTTGAGTTTTAAGTTTTTTTTTTCCCCTAATAGGCAATTCCCAGGGATATCAGCCTCACTTCAATAGATGTGTATTTGTGTGCCCAAGCATGTAATAATCACGAAGGGACCCCTCCCATGAAAAACACCTTCATGTGCTCCACTATTCTGAAGGGCTCCCTTGCCAGTCACAGTATACAGAGATGAGCAGAGTTTATACTAGGTGAGTACCCCAATAAGAAAGCAATGAAATACAACAGCCAGAGGGAGGAGGAGAGGGGAGCCAAGTGCTACCTTCAGATGATAAACGTTGCCTTGCGCCCGCATGACAAGCTCACTGGCAGGGATGGACTGTCCACAAGCACTGCATGCCCCACTGTTCCCAAATAACCTGAAACAAAAGGTGATGGCAACCATGAGTGTTTCAGCTATGTTGAAGATCTCTCCCCCCCAACCCCAGACCAAATCCTTCCCTACTCTCCAGCCCCACCCCAAAGTTCTTTTTGAGGCACAAGCCTCAGAGTTCTGCAACTGATTTACATCAAACAGGAAACCCATTTTGGGGGAGGGGATTGACTAACTTCTGCCCACCACACAGGAAGAGGAAGCACCAGATTTAATCAAAAATATTGACTTATACCTCTAGCAAATACAAAAGAATTCTGTACCACACACAGTTTTATCAGATTACTGAGTTCATCATAAAAAAAAAAAGATACAATTCATGACTGGAGTTTAAATGCATTGTGTCCTTGAAATTATATGAAGAACTCTTTTGTACTTTAATCATATCTTGAGATATGAGTCATCAAAAGGGTTAAGAGGATTTGATTGTATATCTAAGAAGACATCATGCTCAGTGTATTGAAACTCCAGTAAACCTCCATCAGGGAAGAGTTTCCATTAGAAACTCTCTGCTATCCAGGTTGATATATAATGTGTACGGGTTAACCTTTTCAATCATGGTGTCAACACTTAAGATTTGCCTCTGCTCATCTCTTTCATCCTAACCTTCTCTCTCTCTTGATAATGAAATGCTTGCTCCAACTTCCCTCTATCTGCTCCTGAGTCCACAATTTAGATTACTTCATCTCTGCTAGCAACAAACTGAATGAAATTTCGATTTGAGCAGAAAGTAATTTACCGGGATCTGGACCCATTTGTCATCATATCTCTCTGGGTGTTTGCTGTATCACTGCAGTTTTCCTATGCAATCAAATGAGACCACAACATCTGCCATGGGGGGGGGGAGAGGAGAGAAAGGGAGAGGGAGGGAGGAGGAAGAGGGAAAAGGCTGTGGGAGGGGGGGAGAAGAGTACAAGGAAGTCGAGTGTAGTGAAAAGAGATACACAATTTTCTAAATGTGTTTAAAGGCACAAGGAGAGATTTTAAATGAAGACTGAACTTCCACTTTCAGAGAGCATCCACAAGGCTAGCTTTTTATTTCTTTTGATCCTTCCTTCTTAAAGATCCACATTTTTTTTTTAATCAAACCCAAATGATTCCATCGTGGAAGGTGAAGATTGGAACAAGTGGGCAGGGTCACAGACCCACTTTCAGAATGGGGTCACCAGGCTTTACAAATTAACGTATAGGTGTCATAATAAACATTAATATTTGCATTTCCTCCTTGTCCAAATAAAGTCATAAAATTCTGCTGGTGTCAAAACTCGAAGACGTGTTCCTATAGAATACCCATAATCTGAATGACTGCTGCATGCCTCTGTATAAAAAAATAATTGCTTTGAGTTTTCAGAATCTGGTCTTGCAGAGGAGGCTTGTCATGTTCAAACTACTAATTTGCTGTCGCCACTTTATTGAAAATAGCCTGTAAGTTGTTATTAAATGTATCGACTGAACGACAGGGAGAGTAGTAAAACTGCCCCTTAAGATGGCTTTTAATAGGAAGACCGAGAAACAAATTTTGCAGCAGCATCGATTTGAAGAGTTCAATCAAAACTCCATTTCAAAACTAATTAGTCTGAGATGCACGACACATTGACACGTTCTTGCAGAATCAGGAATGGTTACAAAGGGAAGGCTAGAATAATACACTAGCAGGACCTCCAGTCAAAGGACAGCAGTGCCTGGAAGCTCTGGGGCCACTGAGATGTTGGGGTCTAAAGCTTGACCACTTCAGGACTATTGATGAAATCCTACTGGATTTTTTCTTTCTTTCTTTCTTTCCCTCCCTTGCCCACCCTCCCCCACCTCCCAGCACTGGATTCTCTTGGGTTCTGAGTGTCCCCACCAACAAAGTTTGGAGAACAGGGTGCGCAGAGAAGAGAAACAGCATTGGGGGAAAGTATGAGCAATGACCAGGTTTCCTCTATTCCCCCAAAAAGAATGGAAAAGAACAAGAGTTTAAGTAACAACAACAAAAAGTTAAAAACCTGTCAGTGTAGCAAAATGGATGTTGGGGACTTAAGGAGATTGGGGGTTGGGGGAGTGACTGGGAAAACAGAATCCTAGCACGGAGGACCAAATATCCTCTTATGATGAATATGAGCTCTCTATAAGCATTTCTGAGAACAAGAGTCTGTAATTAGGCTGCCACCACCCCCAACAGGTTCACTCGTACCACACCATCTTAAAAACACACTTTCCCAGCACCAATCTGATTGTACTGCCTGAGTGTTCATTTATTTAACAATTCACCCTGAGTAAAGTCAGCTGCACGTCTTTGGCAGCTAAGTGTATTTTAATAATCCGTGCAGTCATATGTAATCCAAAAGCTTTTCATACATCTTATTTTCCCCAGCACTGCCTCCATAACCTTTCAGAGAACAACCAACCCCACCCCATCCCCAATCACATGATGTACAAAAGAGTAGAAAATTATAGTTACAAAGTTTGGAAATGACTAAAATCTCTGCGTGGCTAATGCACTATTTAACAACATATTAATGCTGTTGGAGATTGTTCCATGCTCTTGTTTCAGGGAGGCCGAGCCTAACGGTTGATGTCTCTAAACACTCGGTACATTATCCTCTCCCTCCTTCACCCAGGATGAAGGCGAGTATTAAAAACTCGACTTTTTTTTTTTCCCTGAAAAGTTTTTTGTTTTTTTTTTCTTTTTCTGTGAGGCTGGAGAGTTAATTATCTAACCAGGGGGACTGTCCAGGACAGTGTTTGATTTAAAAGGCTCGAGGCTTTAGGTGCTCAATTAAGTAGCTATCGGTCTCAGACTGGACTTTAATGGGCTCTTTTCTCTTTAACTCAAGCTACAGGGAGATATACCCCAGGTCAGGCTAATTAAAGCCAGGGGACTCTTTAATTGTGATGACAGAATCGGTTTCAGTTTCCTTTCTTTGGGTCCTCAGTCCAAGAAGGTCGTTAATATTTCAGCATTTGGGCAACGCAATCAATCACAAACATCAAGCGGTCCCTTATATGGAAAAGAAGCAGCCGAAGACGGAGAAATCCCCCATAAGCCTGCATTCTAAAGGTGGTTCGCTCTTATTTGGAGAACTCCCGTGTAGCTAGGTCCTATTTGTCAGCTCTGCCCCCAACTCTCTCCCAATGACGTTAAGAGATGGAGAAGAGGAGGAAGGAAGGGGAAAAAGATAGTCCTATTTTTAGTTTGGTACCATATCTCAGCATCATCTTGGAAAACTGATGACCAATAGCTGGGCTCATTTTCAATTATGTTACTACTTTAAGGAGCAAACACGTAATATTAAGAGATTCCTGGAGGAGTTTCCGAAACCAAGAGGCAAAAGGGGGTAGCATTTCCAAAGGGGGTGGCAAGCGACACGTTCCTACCTACAAGTACATATATCAGCAACCTATCAGAAGAGAAAAATGCACATCTACAGCTACTGATCCAAAAGCAATTGGTTTTCCTGCAAGTTCCTATATTTAATCTAAATTCTGCACTAGCTATATTAAAACCTAACAAAGAAATGCAACACAGAAATTATGCCTGGAGCCAAGTCCATTAAAGGTACTTCAGAATAACTAGAGACCGAGCACCTTAAAAGCCCCAGAAGCTATTGATACTTAAGAGGGGGGGCTGTGCATGATGGCAAGAGCTGCATTAGAAAGAGGGGGAAAAAAATCAGCCAAATTACGCTTGGTTAATTCAGAGTAACAGATCTGCCCCCAAGTGAATTGGAGGCCTTGAATTAATTCTGTTATGACAAATCAAGATAAACGTTCCCCCTAAATTGCATGCGATTTAATTAATTTTTGAGATCCTGGGTTTTTTTTTTCTCCTAGCTAATAGTTCACATGCTCCTATGCTGTCATTGTGCTTGAGTGGGCAGACTTCAAAGTGATATTAAATAACCAACTATTAGATTTACCTAGCACGTCCTATTGGAAAAATGCCATTTAATTACCTAGCCTGTTCAATTAAAGGGACAGCATTCTCTGAATATAGCAGCTTGCTGTTGATTACCAGGGAAATGAACTCGCCTGCCTGGCGGCTCCTAGATTTCTACCACCACTGTCCCTCCCCCAAACCCCAGCTCCAACACACACACACACACACAGACACACACATCCCTCCGAACCCCCCTCCCCCTGCTGCTGCCGTCTCCTCCCTCCCCCAGCCCCCTACCCCGCCCCGCTGCACCGTGCAGACTGCGGCTGCGGAGAGCCACGTGAATTGCAAAGAAGAGAGCACGCAGCGGCGAGAGGCGATAGCTATTCTCCAGCGGAGCTCCCGCCCTTTTGCTCGCCCCAGGCCCGGGGCGTCTGCTCCGCTCCGCCCTGCACCGCAGCAGCAGCGCAGCCAGAGTCAGCCGTCGGGGCACGGCTCGTGCGCCAGCGCCGCACCCCCAGCCCCCACTTGGCCTAGTTCACCGGCCTGCAAGCCCGGTGAAGTCGGGCAAACCACACAGCCTGGGACGCACACACAGCCTTCCGCTGGATTTCCTTTCCCTCCCCCACCCCGTAAGCCCCACCCGTCTCTCCACTAACTTCCTTCTCAGAAGGCAGCAGCAGGACCCACGAGAGGAGGAAACAGGGGGGTGGTGGGGGGGGAAGAGAGGGGAGACCGAAAGGGACGCGGAAGCATAGGAGTCCAGAAGCAACTTTGCTGCACAAGACGGTGGAGGCGTTTCCAAAATCTCAGGACTAGCAAAAGATTGGGGGGGAGGGGGGAGTTCGGAAAGGCAGAGAGTAGGTTGGCCTGGGCCCCTTTAAGAACCGCCAGAATAACAGCCCCCCCCCCAACCTCCAGACTTCCCTTCCCTCTCTTAGAGGCCAATTTTGTTAATTAAATGTTTTGTTTGCAACGGGGCTCTCATTCATTTCGGACACGTCATTCTGAGCAGATCTAAGCCAGAGACCAGATCTCATTAGATAAAGCCCATCAGAACTAAGAGAAAATGGAGGAGCCTCTAATTAAAGCTTTTAATTGTGTGCGGATTCCCGGCTGCTGGCGGCTGGAGCTGGGGCTGCGGCAGCTTTATCTGAAATCTGGAGAGTAAGGGCAGAAGCCCCGTCGTGACTCTCCACCCAAAGGATCCTTACCCTTAAAGGGGTGGGGGAAGGGGTCAGCAAGGTAATCCATCTCCCCCTCCTACTTCAGCTCCCCTTCCTTCCCACTCGGGCCCGACTGGCTTGCCTGCTTCTCCCCCCTTACCCAATGAAGGTAGAATCTGCTGCTTTTAGCGAGATCTGGGTCGTTTTCAAAAGCCACAACCTCAAGACAGTTTAAAAGCCCCTTAATAAATCGCTCTATGGTCCCAGCCCCCGCTCAGGAGATCACCAGAGTCCCTTTCACCTGGCGGCAGCCGTTTTAGCTGATCAATCCGTTTTTCATTTTGTTATTCACATCTAATTTCCCCCCAGCGACTCTGATTAAGAGTTGTGCACATGGATTTGGCCTCGGAACTGACAGCTCTTCAAACTGGGGGGTGGGGAATGGAAGGAGAGGGAAAAAAGTATAGGTCAAGTCATTTCTAGATAAACAAACCCAAACCCCACCCCCAGCAGACCTGGCAAGAGTCTCCTTGAAACTGCCCAGATCCATTCTGGAATTTGGGTGGGTGGGTAGTGGGTGCTAGAAGAGGTCCCTAGACTTCTCGGTTTGGGGTGGCAGCCTGAAGACTGAACTTATCAGAGTTCAGCTCAGTAAATGAAGACTTCGAAGTCCTTCACAGATCTCCTAGGAACATCTAAATATTCATTCGAGTGATCCAGTTCAAGTTTCAGTGAATGCCTCACTCCTGCACATGCTAAGTTAGGTCCAATTATCCAGATCCAGAGAAGAGGGGAGAAAGTCAGAAGATGGAAGAAGGCCATCAATTCTGAAACACCCAACGCTGATCACACTCCTTGTTCATAATTTCAGAAAACACAGAGAAACAGAATGGGCATTCATTTTTGGCCCCCATGAAATAAGTCTTATGCCTGAACTTGGGGAAATTAAAATGGACTGGAGGCATCTTCTCTTTTTAATTAGTGACAATCAGAAGGGAAGGTTTGTTTGCCACTTTAGAGGGTTATGAAACTGTACCACCATTCACTGCATCTGAACAGTTGTGCCCTCCCCCCCACTTCAAACCAAACCTTCTTATCCACAGTTCTGCTCTGTTTAATTACAACACAGTCAGGTTTATGGTGTTGCTTGGATGGAGGACCAGAAAAGCATTACCACACTGTGCCCCCCCAACACACACACTCATGTGCTGGTTTCCCAACATTTACTGCTGAAAGGACATTTAGTAACTACCATACTACCATTTCCCTTTAAAAAATAAAACCCTTTACTTCTTATATTCCTTTCTTCTGAGTCCACTGAGAAGGCAAGCACGCTGGCCAAAGGTTGCATTATTAAAATAAATAAAAACTCTTAATTACCCCTGTCATTTTAAACTAACGACAAGTGAAGAACATCTCCTGATTCATGCTCAGTATATGCTATTTACATCCTTCACAACTTAATGGAGAATAAGGCCAGTGCTCCAAAAATAAACTTAAGGTATTATAAACCAATTGATTCCTCAAGCAACAATTTTCCTATTAACTATTAAGGGAGGAGGGGAAAATACTTAAGAATACACTTGGCATTTACATTAAAAACCCCAAACATTTAAATAGAATGCAATTCATCCTAAAACTCTGCATTTTTCTTATGCCAACCATGGTCTTTTTTTTTTTAATTACTGGATGTTGAAATAGAACACCTCCTAGAAGCATTCATGTGCATCAGTCTATCAAACCATTTACTCAAATTAAATGTGTGTAATCCTTCAAATGCCTCCTTTCAAATTAATGAGTTTAAGGAGCTTGAGTTCACCTGAAAAGATCCTATAGGCACCTGACCTCCTGAATTCTTTCTATTAATTGCACTGAAACTTGTTAGAAAAGATCATGATGTTACTATACATTAACTAAAGAATGCAAAATTAACATATTTCACAGTTGGTTTTTCACAAATTTGTTGGGAGAACTAGGGTGGTAGGTACACACACACACACACACACACACACACACACACACACACACACACACTGGTAGGTGCACCACCACCCAAAAAAACACAAACAAACAGCCCCCAAAAAACCTTGACCTCTTCTTCAGGAAATATCCATCTTTTCTATATTGCAAACCACACAAGACTGTAAGTTCCTGGATTCTATATAACAAACAAACAGTATCCACTAGATTCTTTGGCTACAAGCAGAATTACAGGCCTTTACACTGATAGTTAATCAGTCTTTTACAAGGCGTATAAAGAATGAGTCACTCTCTCTCCACTCAAATAAGTTTAAAGGTGCTTATGTAAATATTACAATTAATCAGATACCACCATGGGTAAGTCACTTCCCCTTAACTAGTTTTATTTTGAAGTCAACTGGGTGTCCGTTGTTTCTCTGTAAATACTACTGCCCAACCTTTAGGAAAGCAGATTAGACTGCCTTTTGATTTTTGTTTATTTTTAGTGGGGACTCCTTTTGGACTGGCAGCCACATGAAAGAGATCAGGGGGCCCCTACCGTCTTCCCCCTGGGCCTCCCAGTAATAACCTGAAGCTGGGCACCAGGAGACATTCTTACAGAGCGTGGGGGTTCACAGCTAATTTAAAATAAAAACTAGAAAGGGAACAAGAAATCAAACAATTCCAACTTCTCTTCCCATTGCCAAGTCAACCTCCTTTTCTTCTTTCAGTCCTTTCCCACCCAGAAAAGATGGTGAGGAAGCAACAGATGATTGTGCCAGGTACAGCTTCCACCCACCCACTCCAAGTTTGCATTCCCGGGACTCCCCACCCCACCAGCCCTCACAAACATACAGCATCTGCTTACCTAATGTAGTCATTTCTGCAAAGGATCATACCGCTCTTGGTGTAACAGGACGTGCCAATGTCCCCAAGCTGAGCCTGGCAGCAGGAACACTTCAGGCACCGGCTATGCCAATAGCTGTCCATGGCATAGAGCAGGAAGCGGTCGGCGATCTTGCCCCCGCACCCGGCGCACCTTTTCCAGGAGAGGGCGCCCGCCGTCACCGGGGGAGGTTGCGAGCTGCTGCCCGGATTCACCATGGTCTGTAGGAAGGAAAGGAAGGAGACACACAAAATAGGGAAAGGGGGGGTAGGGTTTGAATCAAGCGGCTGATCGCG